GAACTCAGGTCCCCCAGTGCTGTATCCACTCCACCACCTAGCTGCCCCTTGGTTTGTTTTTTAAGGATGTGGGAGACAAAAGCACATTTGGAGGCACTGGGGAGGGAGGCAGTAGATAGGGAGAGATTAAAGATTAGAGAAAGAATGGGCATGTTGAGGGCACAGTCTGTTGGAGAAGATGGGAGAGTGGACTGGAGGGGTTTGGGTTGGACTTTGGTTTTGCCTTCCTTTCTATCCCCAGTGTAGCATGTGTAACCTATCACATTTAGTACCTTCGTCATCTTTACGCAGGTGGGTGGTGCAGGGGACGTAGAGCCCTGGACCTGGAGTCAGGAAGAGCTGAGTTCAAATTTGGCTTCAGATACTACCTGTGTGACCCTGAGTAAGGAATTTAACCTGTCTGCCTTAATCTCCTCATCTGTAAAATGGGGATAATAATAGCACCTACCTCTCAGGGCGGTTGTGGAGGTCCAGTGAGATGGTAGATGTAAAGCACTTTGCAGACTTCCTGGTGCTACGTAACTGCTGTTACTGACTCCTTAGCCCCTTGTAATCGGGATTCCTACCTGGCACCCAAACATCACTGCTCTTTACTGGGTTACTAATGAGAGAAATGAGTATTTCTCCCTCAAGGATTTCATCGGTTGCCGTGGGTTCAGTTAGCATCTCCACCAGAGGACTTCAAGCCTCTACAGCCAACCGTCATCAGTCTTCTGAGCTCCAGTGGTTTGGTGGATAGGTCTGCCTATAGCTCTCATGTGCTTTTCAAACCCAGGCCATCTAAAATGGGACTCATTTCTCTTACTCCCTTAACCAGTTCCTCCTCCAGAATATCCCTGTGTCTTTTGAAGGCACTACCATCTTTCCATTTACTCAGGTCACAGCCTTCACAACCTCATCCCACACATCTAATCATTTCTCAGTTCTTTTGTTTTTTGGTGAGGCATTTTGGGTTAAGTGACTTGCCCTGAGTCACACAGCTAGTGAGTGTTATATGTCTGAGGTCAGATTTGAACTCAGGTCCTCCTGACTCCAGGGCTGGTGCTCTATCCACTGCGTCACCTAGCTGCCCCCCATTTCTCAGTCCTTGTCAGTTCTTTCTCCCTATCTTTCAGATGACGGCCTGTCTTGGCTCACATGCCCGCTGCCTGAGGCCCTCACTCTTGCCGAGGTGGCTGCAGTAGCCTTTTAATTGATCACTCCTCCGTCCAACCCATCTACCATCTAATGGCCAAAGTAATTGAGTTTGGTTCTGACCATGTCTCTTCCATGGCTTTTTATTAAAAAGCCTTAGTGACTTTCTCCGTGGTTTCTAGGATCAAGTGAAAATTGAGTTTGGCATTGAAAGCCCTCCACAAACTGGCTCCCACCTCCCTTTTGAAACATGTCTTATTACTTTCCTTGATTTTATAATCAAGCTTGGAGCCCAGCTGGCCTGCTCTTCCTTGACTGCCATCTTGCACTCTTGTGCTGACTTCCCTACCTGGTAACAAGCTCCCTCATCATCCCTTCCAGTTAGAATCCTTTTTTTGAGCTACAAGGGACCTCAGAGGCCCATATTTTACAGATGAGGAAACTGAGGCCCAAGGAAGTGGTGATTTGTTATGTGTTCTTTTTCTTCTGAAGTGATCTTTTCTTTCCTTATCTGTATATATGTTGTGTCCCATAACAGAAGTCAAACTCTTTAAGGAGGACTAGTTTTTTTGGTGTCTTCATAGCCCTAGTATGTTGACTTGTGCAGTGCACATAGTACGTGTTTTAGTAAAATAGTTATTGAATGAATATATACAAAGTGGTTTGCCAACTGTAAAAAGACCTCTAAATATGAGCTTTTATTTCTTTGGTTTTCCCAGAATCCAAACCGTTCCAACGACTCGGACTCAGAACTGGAAGACAGCTCAGACTTGCAGGCATCGGATGGTGCCAGCACGCTGCACCGACTCAGCCTCTTGATGAAGCAAGAAAGTGAGACTAGCACCGAGGAAGGGTCCCAGAGCCACAGAGGAAGCATGGAGCACCTGGACCCAGTGAGAGGGGAGCAGAGTGACGGGGATGAAGATCAGGACCCAACCAAAGAGGTCCTGGTCCTGCAGCTCTCATCCTACAACTCCAACCAGTCCAATAACATCCTCCAGGCAGGGCCTAACACTGCCCAGGAGGCAGGGGCAGGCCTCCCTGCGGTCCGGCTACGTGGGGGGAAGATCACCATGGGCACTCGCGGGGAAAGGCGGCCAGAGTTTGTTTGAACTTGAGGTGTCGGCAGACACGGAAAATTTGGGACACAAAATATTGGAATGAGGAAAACTGGCTGGGTGAGACCTGGGGTGAATAACCCATAACTCCAGACAGACGTGGCTGCCACAGCTCAGGTCATCCTGACTCGTCACTTTTTCTCTGGTCCCCACTGTGGCAATTCCAGTGTATTTTTTCATTTTTTTTTTTTCTCTATGGATCTGGCAGTTTCTCCATCGTGGGATTCCGGATTCCTGCTATCTGGTCTGCTCTTTCAGAGGGCCAGAACTCTATTTTAAATTTTTAAATTTATTTGTTAGTGAGTTGCTTTTTAAAAAATGTTTTTTATTTTTACTTTTTTGGAGTAGGGAGGCAAGGGATCTCTCAGGAGAAAAAATATAAGTGTGTGACGTATCCTCTGAGCCATACTGGATTCAGTACCCCCAGAGGCCCAAATGCCTTGCCTTTAGCATATTGGAAGAGGCATTGAGTAGGCGGGTTCCTTCTCTTTTAATGTGGGTTGGTCTCTAACAACCTCTTACCAGGCCCCTGGTGGGCCTAGAGCGGATTAAAAAATGAACCAGACTTTGGGGCTTACAGCCCTTGTACAGCATTAGGATCCTGATCTACCTAGGGAGCTTGGATAGGAGAGCAAGAACTTTTAAGCACTGCAAACTATGTGGTGATTTTGAAATCCAAAAGTGTAATCCTTCATATGTAGAAGTTAGAACAAAGATCCATTTCTCCTCTAATTCAGATCTAGCTTTTAATCTCTGCCCCCAAAGATCCTGAAGTGTCTGGTACAGGACCCTTTTATCCCAGTGGGGTGGTCGTGGCTGGAGTTACTGCCCAGGGAGACTGGTTTCACAAACTGGGAAAATCCTTTTCCAGTTCTGGACTCTGCTAGAACATAGTGTTAAGTGTTAAGTGCACTTAGGAGGATCCTGAGCCAAGAGCTATTTTTGATTATGGCCCCCTTAAAGAGGTCTTGCCTAAGATACTTTATAGCACTTCCATGTGCCAGCAGTGTAAAATGTCTCAGGCATGCCAGCCCAGGCTCTGAACTCCGGAAGCTGACTCTTATCCCTCAGTTCATAGACCATCCTTACACAGTTGCTGGAGCTGGGCTCTCATCTGTGCTTGAAATAATAATATATGTATGTACATATGTATACAGACACATAAACACTGCTTTAAGGCTTACAAAAAGCTTTCCTCCCAGCAGCCCCGAGGTAGATAATGCAAGGTTCAGTGCCTGAGGCTTTGGTTATAAATTTGTTCATGGTCATAGCATAGGGCCGCTGTGTTAAGAGCTGCTGAGATTCAAGCCCAAGTCTCTTGATTTAAGGTCTTTTCCCTGTGCCACGCCAAGCACTACTGCATCTGATTTCACTCCTTAGCAGAAGGAAAGGAAGTTTTCTTCATGCGTGCTGTACAAGTGCTCAGACTGGTCTATGAACTGGAGGCACTAAATGGGGAAGAGAGGCACTGTTTCAGCTCAACAGCTGAGGGCAGGGCATGTTATTTGCCATGGACAGAGAATCAGTCTGGTGGTCCTTCGAAAGCACAACACTCATGGTTTGTGTTTTATCTGTCTTGCTCAGGACTTTGAAATGCACACTTAAAAATTTTTAATTCCTTTGCTTAAAATAAAATTTGGAGTTCATTTCCTCTGCTGGGAGAATAACTCATTCCGGTGGCCAGCCTCTCCTCAACTGAGAATTTCACTGTGATTTTTAAGACAAAAGGAGTAGTAGGAAATCAACTCTGAGCTACACAAGAGGTTTAGGGCTCAAAAGCTGCCCCAAGATCTCAGATACATGGGCTCATGCTGGCACTTGGGCCCTGGGACTCAAAAGTAGGGCTATGTTTTCCCTTTGTTTGCATTTCATTGAAGTCATTGAAGGAACGGACCCTCCCCTAAGGAGCAGATGAGCATCTTTGGAAGGGTACTAAGCCTATGGATAGCCAGGTTATATAGGTAGGCTTATCCTATGTTCTCCTAACCAGAATGCACTACCAGGAAGGCCACAAGGGGGCATACTTCTTTTTCCTTGTATAGTCTAAATCTCTATCTGAAAAGTCCTTAATCCTAGTTCTGTCCTCTGAAGCCAAGCAGAATATTCCCAAGGCCTCTCAAAGCTGTCATCACAAACTCATGTCATGCATATACCTGAAATCTAAGGTGACAATGGTGTCTTCTCCCTCTGCCAGTTCTGCTACACCTACCTCTACCTTACTTCAAAGCAGCATGCCAGTGGGTCGTCTTCCTGGATCCTCGGCAACAGATTTTTTTCCCTTACTGGAAAAAAAGAGCCAGACTCATCCTAGAGACCCTAAGAGTGAGGTTGGTGATGCAGCAACATCCCCTGGCAGCAGCACTGCTTGCCATTCTCGACTAGGCCAAATGCCAACTCCCTTGAGAAGAGAATGAATAGAAAGATACTCTCTTGGAAATAGCTGTCACATCCTCATTTGTGCCAACTGTAATCTAAAACCAGTTCCGTTGATCCCAAAAGGTTTAAGAATTTATCCTGAAACCTTGCCTTTCCACTTCATTTATTGGCGTTACTTTACCTAAAACTTGGAGATCAGATAGTATCTGTTTCCCAAAGCAATACCAACCACACATTTCAATTAAACTGTTTATTAAGTCCCTGTCATAGACAAAGCACTATACTAGGCACTTAGGGATACAAGGATGAATGATACTTCCTACCCTCCAGGAATTTACAGTCTAATGTGGGAATATGACATGCACAAACAAGAATAATACAAGGGAAAGTTTAATGAAGGTAAAATAAATCTAAAATGCTAGAAAATGAAGGTGAGATAATTTTTATAGGAAAAATAAATGATGGTCACATAATGCTTGTAGGTCTGCAAAGCACTTAATACCCATTTCATTCTCACAAATACCCATTTCGTTCTCACAAAAACCCTAAGAGTTTCTGCCATTTAACAAATAATGAAATGAAAGGCTCAGCAAAATTTCAAACTGCTCTTTCTCATTCCAAGTCCAACACCATTTCCACCATGCCACATTACCCCTTTCCCCAACGATAAATCTTCATGGAAGAAATGGCTCCCTCAGGCTAAGAATTGATAATAATTTCAACGGGCAGAGATTAAGGAAGGAGGTTCCAGGTATGAGGTAAAGCCTACAAAAGGCATTACAGTGCAGAATGAGATCAGACAACTGCTGTTTATCCAGGTCAGGTGGAACCACAGTCAGTGCATGAAGGTAAATGATATGAAAGGTCATTTATCCTAGAGACAACAGAGAACTACAGTTGGTTTTAGGCAGTAAAATAGTGTGATCATACCTGTCTATTAGCAGATTATTGGGCAGCTCTGCAAAGGGTGGATTGGAGACCAAGATACAAGATCCACAACACACATTATATTTTGTGAACCATTATCTGCCACCACTCCTATCCAAAAGAGATCCTATGCCGTTTCTTCGTTTCCCAATTCAATTTCAGTCCTGTTGAACAAGTGAGAAGGAAAACCCATGCTTTCTTCACTGAGTTAGGCAGCACACACAACCGCAAATGGCGTAGAAGTCAGCCGTCTTCCCAGGTGGAGCTGCCTTGCGTGCTGAGACAGGAGTCAGAGGCTGGCTAGCACATCTCCAGGGATGCTGGATAACAAGGAAGAACAGGAATCAATTAACAAGCATTTAGGATATGCCTACCATGTGCTAGGCAGTGTGCCAAACAGATATGGAGAGAGGCCAAATGTCTCTGCCCTCAAGCTGACATTCCAGATGGGGTAGATAACATATATACACACATAAATATATATCAAATTAAGACAAGGTAATTTATTGGGTGGCACTAAGACAATATTTTAGGTAAGTTTTTGGTTTCTTGCTTTTTTAGTGAGGCAATGGGGTTAAGTGACTTGCCCAGAGTCACACAGCTAGAAAGTGTCAAGTGTCTGAGGCCAGATTTGAACTGAGGTCCTCCTGACTCCAAGGCTGGAGCTCTATCCATTGCGTCACCTCGCTGTCCCATATTTTAGGTAAGTCCTAAAGGAAGCTGGGATTTAAAGAGGCAGAGGTAAGGAAAGAGCATTCCAGGCATGGGGAGATGGAGCTTGGTGTGTGAGAAACAAGGTGGCTAGTCTGGCTAGACCACCAAGTGAGGGGAGGAGAGTAATATATCCTAAGGACCAGGTTGTGAATTAAAGGGCTTTAAATGTCAAAAACAAACAAAAACCTTAACAGAATGGGAGTGAGATGGTCAAAACTGCTTTAAGGGAAGTACTTTGGCAGCTGTGTGGAGGACCCATTATAAAGGATGGGGACCAATTAGGAGAGTCAGATGACGACAGGAAGAGAATGCAATCCTGAATGGCTGCACAAATCTCACTCCACCCAAAGGATTAAGGTATCCTTTTACCATAGAGGTCCAAGGCAAGAGACTGTGCTTTTGTTTGCCTGCTACACACCAGGGAAAATGCTATAGCTGGGACACTTAAAAACAGGCCACCGATGACTCTTGACTGGATTTAACAGGGATTTGTTTCCCAGCAATCTATCAGGCAAAACTCAGTTAGTGAGATTTATGATTCCCCTCCAGTAAAATCTTCCAACAATTCCTCACAGAGTGGATGTGACCCTGGGTTCTTAGAGACTATGCCAGTACTGCCAGATCCTTTAATGCTGAAAACACTTTAGGTTTGAGCATGGGGATGGGCCAAATAGTTAACAATCTGCTGAAGTGTGGGGGGTGGAGAGGGCAAGACAGGGAGACATCATTTTAGGAAGAGGCCTGGAAAGAGAGCTGGAGAGGGGAGATGAAGGGCAAGGGGGAGGAAGTACACAGAAGGGGATGAGGATAGCAGAGTCAGGACATTAGGTGACTTGGCTAAGGTCATGCCAGTAAGCAGCAGCTTCCTTGGTGAACTTCAAGGTCACTGAGGACCCAGCCATTACCAAACCACTGGGATTCCACCTCTCCAGGGTTGTCAGGGCAAATACTTTGTGAGCTTGGCAGAATGGAGGCATGTGGGTGGAAGCCCCATAGCTTTGCATTTCCACTCCCCTCCTGCCCCTGGCCCTCAGGGCTGTCTCTGAGAGACTAAGCATGGAGGGGAAAGGTGGTGCTGGGATCTGAGGAGACCTCAGGGGGTACCACAGACCCACAGACAACCTCAGGATTTTCCGAGGAAGAGATGATACCCTGGGAGCCTGAGCAGACTGCCAGGCTTGATTTGCCGTTGGGAGTGGGCACCCTGCTCAGGTGAAGGACGCGTTCCCCCTCCCCACAGCCACTGCTCCGTACATGGTTTACACAGGCTGTTGGACTAAACTGAGCAAAAGAACTATCTTAAGAGACTTACGTAAAAGGAGAAATAGGTCCCAGACTAGACCGTCAGGCCGGCCTGTCATTTGCTGTGGGACTTTGGCATTGGAGGGTGCGGTATCTGGAATGCAGGAGCCCTGTGTCTCCTATTTCTTCTGCTCCCCCCACAGGGCTCTCTATACAGCAGATGGCTCCAAGTAAATGAAGCTGACTAATATCCTAAATACTAACCACCCCCCAAGTAAGCATCAGATGTTAGAATGGAATGTAAAAATCTTTTCAACAAAAATCCCAGAAGTCTGGTGTTCAGCTAACCCAGCACCATCAAAGCTTCAAAGAACAGCCCCAACTTACTTCTCAGGGCGTCAGCAGCCAGTTACTGCACTAGCCGGTAAGTGATATATCTGCCTGCAGTCTCACTGGGTCTGATGATTTTCACCACCTACAAATCCAAAAGGAAAAGCCCATCTTTACTTGTTGAATATAAAGAAAAAACAAATATAAAGTACAAACATGTTCAGCCTTGAACTCAAATGTCATCTTTTCCACAAACTTTGATCTCATCCTTTCCACATAGTGAATGAGCCCTACCCTTGTGTAATCTCAAGGCAGCACTGTGGTGAAGTGGGAACAGCACTGGATTGGGAGGAGGACCTGGGTTCAAATCCTGGTTCTGCCACTGAGCTTTACCCATGTGACCCTGAGCAAGTCACTCAAACTCTTGGGGCTTGTGACTTACCTGTAAAGTGAGAAGGCTTCTAGCCTTCCAGCTCAAATCTGCAATTTTAGGAAGTTTTCTAACGTACTCAACATATTCCATTATTTCTCCCTCTCGAGAGGGAGAAAGCACTAATAAAGGGAGGAGCAGGATAGACCTCCTGAAGGGGGAAGAATTTGAGCTAGGCTTGGAAGAAAACTTCCAACACTCCTTGAGGCGAAGGTAAGGAAGGAGTTCGTTCCAGATGTGAGGGAACACCTTCCCCTCGTAGCCAGAGACAGGAGATGGAGGAACAGCTGGCAGGGCAATCCTGGACCAGACGGCGGGCACGAGGGGGAGAGGTGGCTGGAAAAATCAGTCCTGGGAAATAAGCCCGGAAGAGCCAAACCAAAGTGTATCTCATTCTAGAGACAACAGGGCACCAGTGATACACTTTGCAGCTCTGTGGGCTGGCATCACTGGAAGAACAGTCGATGGATTTGAGAGCGGAAGATGGACTGGAGAGGAGAGACACCAATGAAGAAGGAGGCTTCTTCAATAAGCCAGCCATGAAGGTGAGCCAAACTAGAACTGCGGGGCTGGCCACGGGCCATGCGCGTGGTGAAAAGATGCTGGATACGTAAGGGGGAAAGGCGAAGAGAAAACGAAGATGTCTCCGAGGTTGCCAAGCCGAGTGATTCTGAAGGCTGGCAGTGCCGTCGACACGTCCCTGGCCCGCTCTGCTTCCTTACCTGCCCTCGCTTTATTCCAAAGTACCGCGCCACTGGGTCTCCAGCCTGGATTCTGGGCAGCTGGTTTTCTCGAAGCTTACTGATGAACAGAGTGAAGGAAGAACTGACCCTGCGGCCCTGGCAGAGAGCCTGGCACTATTATGGTCCACTTCCCCCCTCCCCCACATGGAGCGCGGGCCCCACCCTTCCCAGCCGCCCCGAGCGCCTGATGCCCGAAAGGAAAGGGGCCAAATGGGAGCACGAAGGATACTATCGAGCTAACAGCTCAGTGACCTCTTCTTTTGTCATGACAACATGCTCTGGGACCAGCTGGAAGGAAAGTCACCCAGTCATGAAATCGGGAGGGGAATCAGACGGGGCAGCCAGCGGGACTTTTGAGACTGGGAATCTAGTGCGCTCTCAGCACCGTCTTTGCTGGACGTCTCACCCATTGGCTACATGCCTAGAGAATCCCCTCATCAACGCGCAAGCATCTGTTAGGCACTTGTGGACACAAAGACAGAAAGTGGAAGACACCGCCCGCTCTGGAGCAGCTACAGCAGCCTGCAATCACTCGGCTGGCACCTCCTGCTCCCTGCTTCCCCGGTCTGAGACCATAATCAAACCAATGCTGCCACCGCTTCTGAAAAGGGCATGCCGACTGACCGCACCAAGCCTCCCTGCCACTTTCTAAACCGGAACACGCCACCCATGGCCAACACTCTCCTTAAGGTGCTCTTTCCACTTCAGAATGGGAGCTCCTGAGGGCACAGAGATCTTTACTTCCCTATTTTTATTCCTGGTACGTAGCACACAGTAAGCACTTGGTAACAAAATGCTGGGGTCTGAATGCTCTAGCCACTCCAGGCTCTCCTCCCAGCTCCCTGTGCTGCTCCTAATTACACAAGTGCCTGTTTTGTTTCTCAACTAGAGGAGCAGCTGGGTGGAGCCTGGGAAGAGCACCGCCCTAGGAATGGGCTATCGTCCTGGGCCCGCCAGCTTCCCAGCCATGGGGCTTTACACAAGCCGCCCCCTCTCTGTCTGTCTCTGTCTGTGTCTCTCTCAGCTGGATCATCAATAAGGTCCCTTCCAGCAGAAGACCTAGGATTGTTTGGTCTCTTCTGGAGCACATGCCTCTCTTCCTTCATCTTTCCCAGAAGGCTGGGTGTACAGTTCTTAGGAACAAACTGCTTCTGATACATGTGACAGGGGACTGGTCCTATACTTCGTTATTCCTTTTTTCTAACGAGTTCGCTGGCAGGTGACTTACCTCATGTTCAGTAATATTAATGAGCAGCTCCTGCTGTAGAAACTGTTCTAGGATATATTTGGGAGCCATGTCAACCAGGGACTGAAAAGAAAAGAAATCAACACTGAAGAAAATCCAGTACTGCTTCTTTACATAGGACCCAGGTGAAATTTCACAGGCCTGGGATCAGAAGACCTGCATTTTGGGCCTGGTTCTATCATCACCTCCCGTGTGACCCTGGAGAAATCAGTGAGCCTGAGTTTCCTCTTTTGTAAAATAAGGAGGGAAGGGGCACTACCATTGGCAGGTGTGCCCCTCGAAGAAACAAAAGAGGAAAAGGCCCACCTATTTATGAGAGCTGTTTTATCATGCTAGAGAACTGGCAACTAGATGAATGGCCATCAACTGGGAACAGGCTGAACAAATTACGGTCTCTGAGTGTAATGAAATATTACTGCGCAGTACCAAACGAGAGAATGACATTTTCAGGGAAAGTGAAGTGGGAAGAGACAAAAATGGTAAATGAGGGGTTAGGATTATTTGAAATCTTGAAGCTCTGAAATTCTTTAATTCTTTATCATCTCCAGCAGTAAAGCCCTCCAAATCCTGTACATAGCTCCAAAAGACAAGTTCCCGCGAAGTAATTAGCTATATCCAAAGCCAAGGCCCTCATAACTTTTCTACTAACAATCATTTTCATTTGCACAGTTTTTTTAAGTTTTCTAAATGATAAACTTCACACCAGTCAATAAACACAGACAATCAAATAAAAATATAAAATACAAGCTATTTACAAGACAGCTGGTATATAGAATTCTGGGCCCAAAGTCAGGAAGACCCAAGTTCAAAACTGGCCTTAGATACTTACAGTTCTATGACCTTAGGCAAGTTACTTAACCTATTTGCCTCAGTTTTCTCAACCATAAAATAGGGATAATAACAGCACCTATCTCCCAGTGTTGTGAGGATCAAATCACATAATATTTGTAATAGCACTTAGCTTAGTGTCTGGCACACAGCAGGTGCTATATAAATGCTTATTCCACAAGTTGCACACTGACTGAATAAATAATGTGCATCTTAACACAGAAAACTGTGGAGGTAAATGCATCATAGGTGCATTTATCATCTGCTGCAGAAGACTGTACCAAGAATTCAAGATCCTTCAAACCAGCTCTAGGGGACATTAGAGGCCATACAGCCTAATGCCTTTATTCTACAAGAAAAGGAAACTGAGGCCCAAGGAAATTAAGTGACTTCTTCAAAGTAACTAAGGTAAAAAGTGTGGCAGATAGGCACTGGTACCTGGTGACTTGGATGCAAATGTTGGGAACAACAGTGACAATACAGTTCAGGATTAAGAAATTAAAGAGACCAAAGGGTGGTAGATTACTCCGAATCATCACATCTACCATCATGACTATTTTCTTCAAGAAGAAAGTTGGAAGGTATGCCAAAGGCATTAGGAAACTGGTCCTCACAAAAGTCCTGAAATAGAGGGCAGATATCATCCCCATTTCACATAAGAGGAAATTGAGGCTCAGAGGAGTCCCTGGAGCAAGGACAAACAGCAAGCAGAGATGGGACTTGGGACTCCAGTTGGGGAGGCTGGATGGCAAGCCTTTCTAATCTCTTCTGCTCTATTCAGCTCCTTAAATGGACTGATTGACTTAATTACAGAATTTTTTAAAAGGGTCCTCAGTGCAACAGTGCCCTAGCTATTTTCAGCTGCCCCAGGACAAAGGTTAAGACTCCAGGGGCTGAATAGGACAGAAAAGTACCGGCCCATTTTGCTCCCCAATCAGAGCCAGATTACTACTGTGGTTTTACAAACTGTTCTAGCAGCAAGAGAGGAAGAGAAGCCTAAGCCTGCTCATGTCTGAAGCAAACAGGAAGCGGTTAAAACATTCGGGACAGTTCAGCCACTTCCTTGTTTGGATGCCTCAGCTCCAGGTAACAGGACAGTTTTTCAAGCTGGCTCTGTATTGTGAGTGTCCCTTTCCACCTAAGCACTGCAGACTAAAGCTGGAGAGGGGTCAGAAAGACTGGTAAGGAACAGCCCAAGAAAGTCCTGGCCTCCAAAGGCAGGGTAAGGGAGAGATCAGAGCTCCGCTCTTGTCTGAGCACCTGCTTCGCGGAGGGCGTCATGCCCTGCTGCACCACAATGAGGGCCCTGGTAATGTTCTCCTCCTGCATCCGCTGGCAGTACATCTTGATAGTCTTTATTCCAACCTTTGGTTCCTCTGGGAGGACAAAACACAAGATTAAGATTAAGATTATTTTCAGCTACAATTGTCACTTTCACCTTGAAGACCCTTACCTTTCTGAATCAGTCTCCACGGACCCAGAGCTCTTCCCTAACCTCACACCAAACATACGATTCAATACTTCAAGAGCTCATTTTTCAGTGTAGATCTTCCCTCCCATGATACAGCTTGCCACCCAAACATGTGTTAGTGGGTGGCTTCCTCAACCGCTATAGCCAGTGGCCAAACTTCCTATGATTAGTCTCTCTGAACTGATGATGGGTCCACACTTATAACTTTCCAACTTAGTAGGACCAGCTAAGGCTCAAGTTCCACTGGCATAGCCTTTAAGTACCTAGGGGCTCTTTCCTGCAATGGTAACAAAGATAATAAAGCATCGGAGCTGCCCAATTTCTAAGACTTTAGTACTTCCATCTCTATACCAGAAGTGACAGGCAGCACTGTGTACAGGAGAGGATGTGGGGCATGAAGTCAGGAAGCTGGCAAGTCTACCCTGCCCTCTATGTACCCCACTGCACAGCTTCTGACAGGCTGCTTCCCCAGTTTGGGTCACCTCTGTGAAATGATGGAGCTGAACTTGACCTCTGAGGTCCTTTCCATTCTATGATGACAGTATTGGGAAAAACAGGAGGGAGCCCTGACGTGATGGATTGGAGGGTGAGACAGAAATGGCTTTCTGAGGAAATAACAGGTATACCCAGATGGCATTTCCAGTTCACAAAGAAATTTACACATGCACGACACAGAAGCAGCTCTGGTAGAAAGGTGGAATGTAGATCTAAATACCAACATCCCAACCCCAAACCCCAGCAACCCTGTCGGGGAAGAGAACGGGGAGTTCACCTGGAAGCTGCCGAACTGGATCAAATATAGCTTTGTCAGAGTGGTCTTATCTGACAGACCTACTAGGTATGGTCACACAGCCAATTCAACTAACCACAACTCACACTTTCATAATATATCAACATTTTACAAAATGCTTTCTTCCCAATAACCCCACTAGGTAGAATGTCCCATTTTTAGGGATGACAAACCTAAAACTTGCTGGTAACCCAAACTCCAAAGCCATATGCCTCCTACCTCCCAGAATTTTGGACTAGGAAAATAGATTTAATTTATTTTTCAAGACAACAGGTTCTCACTAGTCAGTCTCTCTTTTACCTGGGAAGAAGACAAACATCTGGTCTGTGGGGTCATCATTGTGGGCCACCAATACTGTAAGATCAGTGCGTCGAGGCCGTCCTTCACTGGGCTTATCCCCAAACTGGGCTTTGAACTCTTCCAAAGTCTGATCTAATTCATCCTGGGTCACCAAGTAGCCCCGATCATGACATAACTGTGAAAGAGCCAGATAATCAATCAGAAAGGACTCCAAGAGAACATTCTGTCCATCTAGTGAAGGGGATAGAAACCTACCTTTTTTGACAATGAATGCCCAAGACCTCACTCACAGCCAACCCCTCAACCACTGTCACCAACTATTTAGAACTTCTGTCATGCTCAACCCAAATCCCTCTTATTATACATATTACCTCTTCACCCTGGACAATTTTACTTAGCTGGGACATATTTGATGAGCATTATGCCAGCCCTGTCCCAACTCCCTCCAAGGCCATTGCTTTCTGCTGTCCCAAATCTGGTCTGTTTATACATAAAGAACTACAATACTGACTTTGTAATCTTTTCATACTATAACCTCTACAACCCAGGCTCTGAAGACAAATTAAATATGTTCTTCTACCCAGGTTCTCACCTTACTTCAACAACCCTCTTCCTCCAAATCTTGTTACTTTCTTGTTTGGCAAAATGGGAAAAATAATAACAGTTCACATATATATAGTGCTTCAAAGGTTCGCAAAGCACTTTATATACACTTATTTGATCCTTACAAATTACCCTAATGAACTAGATGCTAATATTATTCTCATAATACAGGAGATGACATAAATTCAGAGAGGTTAAGTGATCTGGCAACATCACAGACCTACAGTGTGCCTGGGGCAGGATTTGACCACAGATAGGTCCTACTGTATCCCTCCTTCATTCAGACAGCCATCCCTTGCGACAAAGAATAAAGGGGGGGGGGCAGTTCAGTAAAACTAACTCATATAAACTCAAGATTACAGTATAGGTAATGGCTAATGAGTCTACATACCAGAAATAAAAGAAAAAGGAAAAGGACAGACATGTACAAAAGCATTTTTGTGACAGCAAAGAATTGAAAACTGAGCAGATGCCCATCAACTGGAGAATGGCTATTCTCCAGTTATAGTAAATTAATGTGATGCTATAAGAAAGATGAAGGAGATGGTTTCAGAAAATAACTGGGAAGACTATTAACTGATTGGAAGTGAAGTAAGCAGAACAATTTATACAATAACAACACTGTAAAGATAATTAACTTCAGAAGACTTAGGAACTCTGATCACCAAAATTCCAAAAGTCTCATGATGCTATCTACCTCTAGGTGACAGACTCAGTGCAAAGTGAAACATTTTCTTTTCTTTCTTATACTTGGCTAATATAGGAATTCATTTTGCATGACTACATGTATTTGTAATGAATTTTGCTTTTCTTGCCTTCTCAATGGGTGAAGGGAGAATTTGGAACTGAAAATAAAATAGAATTTTTTAAAAAAAATTGTACAGGTAATGTTCTGGATCCACAGTCTTCACCTCTGCCAAGAAAGGAAAGAAGTGTGTTTTCTCACTTTTTCTTCCAGGCTAAGTCTGGCCAGTCTAACTGCACAGCCTTCACTTCTGCTTTGGTCCATTCCATTTACATTGTTGTAATCATTGTATATATGGTTGTCCTAGTTCTAATTACTTCATAAGTGTTCCCATGCTTCTCTGAAGTCTTCATATTTGTTGTTTTTTACAGCACAGTAATATTCATGACATTCACGTACGATAATCTTAAGACATGTCCACTTCTGGGAATCTACTTTAGTTCCTAGTTCTTTGCCACTAAAAAAGTTTCTATGTTGGTGTTTATGGGGTCTTTCTGTCTTTGATGCCTGATAGCTAAGATAATAAGGGAACTAACACATATAAGACCAAGAACCATATGCCAATGGATAAATGATCAAAAGACATGTACAAAGCTTTCAGAACAAAAATTGCAAGCTGTTAACCATTTGAAAGGATGTTCTAAAAAAAAAAAAAGGGAAATGCAAATTCAAAAAAAAAAAATCCTGAGGTTTCACCTTCTATCCTTGAAATTCACAATAGATGGGAATAATAATGTTGGAGGGGGAGTGCAAAAAGGCAGGCACACTTAATTTACTGTTGGTGAAAGCAATTTGGAATTATACCAAAACAAACAAACAAACAAACAAAAAACGACTAACATCTCCATAGCCTTTGTCTAAGAGGCAGGCAAACAAGCCTAGCTGGTGCTAAGGGAAAAATAGTAAGAGGGTGAATCAGTTCATACAAGGTGAGTCAAATCTCTACCACTTCTACCACCACCTCCTTTCAAACCTCAAAGGACACAGTCCAGGATCTTGAATCTAATGGGGGAGACAACAAGCAAACGAATATATACAAACAAGCGATACACAGAATGAATAGGAAATAATTGCGAGGGAAGGTATTAGAATTAAGAAGGTTTCCTGTAGAAGATTTTAATTGGGCCTTAAGGAAGAGAACTCACCAACTATATAGTATATATAGTGGACCAGTTGGCATAGCTTAAGCAGCAAGGCACTCACCATAAGGGACAAACAAAAAGCAATGTATGCCAGCCAAGATGAACCACCACCACCTCCCTCCTATTGGAGTTATCTTATGAGTCTGTACTCAAAACCTTGTGAAATATGCCCAAGACCACCAGCCCTGTTTCCAGCTAGGGTTTCTGCTTCCAGAAGAAATCACTCTGGAGAAGTCACTCTGGGGGCTCATCTTCCTTGCCACCATCAAGTAGCAGGTAAGCTTGAGTATCAGGAGTGGCAGTACTTCTCTAGGTCACTGGTCCTGCTTTTAGCCCAGCCATCACCCTGGGAAACAACTCCTGTGGAGATGTGGCCTACCCATTGCTTCCGAGAGTGCTGCAGTTACAAGTTACTGAAGACCCAGAAAAGAATGTCCTTTTGTCCTTGGCACGATCAAATGATTATTTATCAGAAACTGACATGATTTGAGCAGTGGAAACATCATTAAAAATGATACCCCACTATTTGCTTTGCCACTGCACTCTAAGGACCATGGGACTTTTCCATCTGACTTGCAGCTGAAACCTTCTCCATGTGTTGTCTGGCCTTTAAGACTGTGAATTCCTAGAAAGCAGGGAGTCTTTTCTATTTGCATCCCCAGCATTAAGCACAATGTTCAGCACTAGGTCAGTACTTAATAAAATGCTTTTTAAATGCATTCATTGAGAGAGTCCACTGCTAGCCCAAATAGGAGAAAGATAGAAAGGGATCACATATATCAAAACATTATAGCAGCACATTTTGCGATAGCAAAGAACTGGAAATGGAGTGGATATCCACTGATTGGGGAACTGCTAAACAATTGGTACATGAATGTAATGGAATATCACTGTGCTGTAAGAAATCATAAATAAACCCCAAGAATTCAGAGAAGCACAGGAAAATTCCCGATTGATGAAATGACAGCCACTGTAAAGCAAATACACGCGGACCTTCCTCCAAGGGGATCCATGCAGGCCTGACCCCTTCTCCTTCTCAAGTTTCCTCCTCATCAAACTGCTCTTGCTCTCCCTCTCTTCGACCCGTCCCCATTCCCCCCGCATTTCTCCAGCCTCCTCTCCCCTCCCTTCCCAGAACCGCCCACGCGCCCCTTCTCCAGCCTTTCCCTCCCACAACCCCCCCCGCGCCCCCTGCCCCCCCCCCCCCCCCCGCAACTCCCTATGTGCCCGCCTTCTGCCTTACCCACCCTCTACCCTCACGGGCCTCCTTCCTTCCTCTACTTCTCTCGGGGTCAAGGGAGGCTATCGTCGTACCTGCATTATAGTCTTGCGGATCTTCCATAGCCGATAGGTCTCCTCTTCGTCATCCATGTCACCTTCGCGTCAGGCCACAGAAGCGACTAAACGCCCACGACTTCTTCCGCACCGCGCACCCCTCAGCTAAAACCCTGAAGGAACTAAGTGCAGCTGCGCAAGGCCTAGTACCGAAGCGAGTGCGTCTGCGCGAAGCCCAACAGCAGGCCCCCTTCGTGCCTGGGCGGAGGTGGCTTAGGAGAGTGCCTGAGAGTAAGAGAGCAGGCAGTGCGGCAGACAAGCCGACGACTGAGCGTTCGGAGGTCGGAGGTTAGTTGTTTTGTTTGAGGCGCCAGGCAACGCCCCACCCCCCGGGAAATTCTCGCGTGTCTTTAGGCGCAAGGTTGCCTGGGAGTTGTAGTTTTCCAAATTGTCGGTCCTCTCAAACTCTGGGGTCGTGGAATGTCAAAACTGGGAGGGAGGGATGTCAACGAATATTAGGCTTTTGCTGTGTGCTTAGTGACAGGAGAGACACAAAATTTAGACAAGCCATTGCCCTCAAGGAGCTCTCATGGAGATCCATGTCATCTACCTCATTTTATTGAGGAAGAAACTGAGGCCCATAGAAGAGGGAAGAGACATTCAAAATTATGCAGCAACCTAGTGGTAGTCAGTCTTGATTCCACATTCAGCGCTTTTCCGATACTGAGGAATAGCGTCAAGTTAGTTTTTTCCAAGTAGTCAATTTGTCCATTGATCTTGGTGTCCAGGGAATCACAGAATCTTAGATTTGGAAAGGCCTTCAAAGGTTATCTAGTTAAATCTATATCAGAACAGGAATCCCTTTTACAACAATCAGGGTCCCTGCAGTTCTTCTGTTTAATCTCCAGCTAACAAAAGAGAGGGGCCATTTTGGAACCTCCATTTTCATAAGTAATCAATTCAGATCTAGAAGAGATCTTATGGATCATCTGCTCCAAGCCGCACATTTTATAGAGGAGGAATAGAGGCACAAGGAAGGTAGTTAACCGAGTTAAGAATAAGTGGAGTTTTTCAAGATCACCCAGGTAGAATGTTGGAACTAAGATTTCAACATTTCATGAATCCTAGTACATCACTCTTGGCTCTACACAATCCAGACAAAAAGAATGTTTTCTTGGGTTTATTTGTAAGGGGCCAGAAAACACACAGATTATTGGGTCTTACTAGATAATCTTCAAGGTCCCTCCAGCTCTAAATCCTGCCAGTCTGAGAATTTGCACGTGGGGGCCTGGAATTACTTGCCCTGAAAGCCTGTGAGTCAACCTTCGTGACTTGCTGGGAAAGATGTGCAGATAAAACTCATCCAGACTTGGTGGCTTAGTTGATAAACCTTTAATTAGGCTTTTTCTTGATTACTAATTACCCTTTTACATCGTCATTAGGCAGATTAAGCAGCCTGAAACTTGGACCCTGGAGCCACTAGACTGGTAAAGGCTATACAATTTTTGGGAGAACCTAAGACATCCATGGACAGTTGGGTGACATGTCAGGTTGTGTGGGGATTTGGGGCATATTATCCAGGTAAATAAGCCGCACCGTTACAGCCTCAATCCTTAGATCGCCTTGCGCACTTGCTTCAATCCCCTGGGGCCACGAGAAAGCAAAAAGGGAGTCAGGCGCTCTGCAGACGTAGCGGGTCTACACAATCTGCCTCGCCCCGCCCCGTCCCGCCTCTAGCCCCGCCCCGACCTCAAAACCCCGCCCTCTACTACTCCGGCCTGTTGATTGGCTGGCTGAGCCGCCTATCCATCCCCACCACAATTCAGACCAGTGATTGAAGGCCAGAGGGTGGAGCGATCCGGCAGGGCCTGCCCCCCGGGCGCGCGTTGATTGGGGCGCTCGGGAGGGATCCGCCTCTGGGGAAGGAGGCTCCCCGACCGCCGCCGAAATGAGTTTTAGCCGCCTCTACCGCCTGGTGAAGCCAGCTCTGCTGTGCGCAGCCATGGCGGCCCCCGGGCTTTCCAGCAGTATGGTGAGCCTGGGCAGCCCTGCGCGGCCGCGGGAAGGGCAGGGTGGGGGGAGCCGGGCCGGGCCGAGCGGAGGCCATTGAGCCCCAACCCCGCCCCTCGGGTCCGTTAGGGGAGGGCGCGCGAGCCCCCTCCCCGCCGGCCCCCTGCCCTCGGACGCAAGTTGCCCCTAGCCAGCCTCGATCTGGCTCAGCCCCCTTCCCAAATCCCGGGGCCCGGGGCGGCTGCGGCGGGGGCGGGATAGGGAGCCCGGGAAGGGGGGGGTGCCATGGGGGAGGGGACTGCCCGCCTCAGGTCAGCGGGCGATTGTTCTCAGAGGCCGGAGCCGGGAGGGCCAGGGGCGGGCCCGGCCACCAGGCCCCCCGCCCCCCACTGCCCGCCAGGCCGCGCAGGGGAAGGAGGAGGGGGCCGCGGGGTCAAATTCTGACTCTTCGGTGCGTGCCCCAGGCCGAGGTGGTGAAATGACCGGATCGCCGGACCCGGGGTCTGAAGAACTCGCGGGGTTACCCTGGCAAACCCGTTCACCTCCCCGGGCCCCAGTTTTCTCATCTTGTTAATGGTGGGGAGGTTGGGCCGGGTAGCCTCTGAGTCCCCTTGATCCGGAGCTGTGATATTAAATCCCTGGGAAGGGGACCCTGGGTTCAACTCCTGCGTCCGATGCTTTCTTGGGGTGCTATCTGGGACTGGTCTCTTAACCTTCCTGGGTCATATTTTTCCCTTTTGTAAGATGAGGGGGCGAGTTCCATGACCCCCTCCCTAAGACAAGGGCGTTGGCCTCCCAGGTCCCTTCAGACTGCATTTGTAGCAGGATTCTCCATCTTTTGTAGCTTCCTGGATCAGTCTATGGATGTTTTTAAATAATTGCAGGAAATGCCAAATTTCAGTTAGAGCTTATTGAAAATAAAGATGTCTTTTTTCTCCAAGTTAAAGCGCCCGTTCCCCCCAACTCTAAGACCATTGTAACCTCACCTTTTGGGGCCTGAAATTCCCTAGCTGTAAAATGAGGGGGAAGGAGGTGTTTTCAGCTCTAAAATTTTACCAATCTTATATGAGTCTGATCCGAGGTTGTCTTAATTATGACCTTGGGCAAGTCCTTTTCCTCTCTGAGGCTTAGTTTACCCATCTGGAAGAGCAGAATGGTGGCTCTTGCCCTCCTAGCCTGCCATCAACAACAGTTCCTCCTTTCCTGCTGGCCTTGGGCTGGGGAAGCCAAGAACGGAAAAGGGATTGGAGAAGTGGGATGGAGTGCACATTAGCACAATGTAGCAGTTTTTCTGAAGTCTGCAAAGCCAAGGAGTTTGTGTCATGGGAGCTGGGTTCTGTGTCTCCTCTGGGTTATGAGACAGGGCCACTGGCATTAACTTTGTGTTTATGGGCCCAAAAAAGTGGATATTAGGCACTGTTATTCACTAAGCACATCAAATTGAACTCCTTTCTCCTGAAATACAAAACACCCTATACAGTGTTTCCTCTATCTGTTTATGGTCCTTCTTCCATCTCACTTACAGTCCCCATGTCCAGGCACCAAGCCCTAATCATTCTGCCCCACAGTATCACTCATCTTTCTTCCTTTCCACCAACACCCCCCTAATAGAGGCCCTCATCACCTGGATTGTTATAATTAGCCTCCTAAATGGTCTTCCTGCCATATATCCTTCCTTCATTCCAGTCCATCCTTCTCCACTGTCCAAAGGACCTCTGCCTACTGCCATTCTACTCTCTTCAGGCCCCTCTTACATGCCACCTCTTCGGAGACCCTTTCCTGCTGGACCACAGCTAGAACTGAAGCCGGCCTCTCTGAATCTTTTCTTGATCCCTCCCGTGCACTTGATCATATTCCAATTTGTGTACTTTTGTGTATATACCTCTTCCTTCTCTCTAGCCACTAGATTGACCACCCTTTGAGGCCAGAAGTTGGCTACTCTTTCATCTCTACATCCTTAGCCTTGATAACATTGACTTGACTGGGCTGAATTGAGTGACTGCTTAGAAATGGGCAGCAAGGAGTGTTCTTACTTGCCAGTGTGTGGGTAGATAACTAGACTTGGGGACAGTTCTGAAAGCTCTGGGGAGGCTGCTGAATCATTTGAATTACAGTTAGACCTCTGCTCTGGACTTTGAGTTGGGCTATCTGTGGGACTGGAGGCCTCTCTGTTCCCTGCCCTGCCCCCTTTAGGCCTCGGGCCTGGCCTAGCATACTCTAGCCTCCAATCTGTAAATATTTTTGAGACTTGGGTTTGTTTTCTTCCCTGGGTAATTTTATGGGTGTGTCTACTGTTTCTCTAGAAACTGCTGTGCTTGGGAGGTCATAGGAGGACACCAAAAGGACCAGCCAGGGTTGGGCTGGCCAGACCACATGTAGAGGACAGGGACTGAGGTGTTTCCTTGGTAACTTCCCCCCAAACTGGCCCACTGAGGAGAGCCAGACTGATGTCATGTTTGTTGGACAAGTGAATGAAGAGACCTGGTCTAGGAGTATGGAGATGTAGGCTCCAGGCCTAGCTCCTAATTCAGAGGGGTTCAGCTAACATGTATGACATGTTTATGACATGTCAGGCACCTGGGTCCGGGGTATGGGGCTCTTCCAGGGTGGACACAAGCTGTGGCTTCACGAGAGCCTCTAAGACCAGAGGTTTCAGAGAAGGTGCTGCCCTGCTTTGGCACCGGGAAGGTCTCTGACTGGGTGGATTTTTACGTGCCAGACACTGTGCCAAGTTCTGGACATATAGAGACAGACAGGAAAACAGCCCAGCTTTCTGGGAGCTTCTACTCTGGGGAGGAGGTCTGACGGGCACACAGACAAGCCTATAAAGTCATTTGTGGGAGCCTGCGCAAGGCTTAGCCTGCTTTTAGCTTGTTTGTCCCTCTAGACTGTGAGCTCCCTGAGGGCAGGGCTTGTCTTTTGCCTTTCTTTGTAGTCCCAGTGCTTGCTTAGCATGGTGTCAGGCACGCAGTAGGTGCTAATCAGTGCTTATTGACCCACTGACTTTGGGCCTCTGTAAAGTGAGAGAGTCAGCGTGGATGATGTGAGCCTCTATCGAGCTAAAAGGACCTTAGAGAGGATCTGGCATGAGAAGGAACCGCCAGCCTCGAAGGGCTCAGGCTGCCTCAGGGAGCTGCAGGCCTAGTGAGCCTCCTGCCTCTGGTCCTGAGCAGCTGTGTGACTTTGGGGAAATCCCCTAACCTCTGGGAGCCTTGGAGCTTGAAGGTGATTCCTGTACGTAAAAGGAGGGGGTTGGAGTAG